CCAGCCCCCCCGCTCACCCATGCCGTTCTCGTTGACAGACATGTTGTCGGACTCGGCAGCGCCGTCCATCATGGTGGCGTCGTCGTCGGTGCGGCGGCGGCGGGAGCGGCGGCGACGGTTGCTGACGGGCTGCGACTCGCTGCCATCGGTGTCAGCCGTCTGGTCGGTCTCCGTGTTGTCAAGCAGGCTGTAGGGGTTGCTGTCCGGGTCCTTGAGCACTGGGGGGGAGGGGGCGGACTTCAGCACGGAGTAAACACTGGGCACAGAGAACCCAGGAGTCCAGGATCCCAGCCCCACCCCCGACTGGACTCCCCTTCATTCTGAGTCAGGACGCTGGAACATGGCATCTGGTTATACATCACTGAGATGCGGCCACCTCTGGGGCAGGGCAGTTGGTTACCCAGGGACCCCTCACCTGGCGCTGGGATGCAGCCACCTCTGGGACGAGGCGGCTGGTTACACGGGGACCAGTTGCCCGGCGCTGAGATGCAGCCACCTCTGGGGCAGGGCACAGGAGCTGGTTACACAGGGATCCCTGAGCTGGCGCCAAGATGCAGCCACCTCTGGGGCGGGGCACAGCCGCTATTTAACAGCAACACCTGATCACCTGAACTGATGGAGGAGCTGTTGTACTTGCTGCCTCCGCCCCCTCGGGGGGCCGGGTGGGACCCCGCCCTCGCCCCAACCCCGGGCGCCTCCGGCTGTCCTCGGGGCGCGGGTCTCGCTCGCCGTCGTCCCTCTTCTCCGACTCGGTCTCTGAAGCGTTGGACAGGTCTGAGTTGGTACCTGGCAGGGCAGAGCAGGGGGGCGCGTGAGCCGCCGTTGGTGGGGGCTGGTCTGTACTGGGGGGGATCCCCAAAGCTGTAGGAGGGGCAGGAGACACAATACCCCGGGGAAGCGTTGCTGAAATGCAGCCACCTATGGGGTGTGGCCCATCAGTCAACCCGCCCCCGCCGTGAAGAAGGGGACATTTTGGCCAAGGCGCCGTGGGGCCAGTTACCGTAGCCGGAGTTGGGCCCCCGGCGCCCGCGGCCTCGCCCGCCGTAGCTGCCCCCGTACGTCCGGGTGCCGTGGAGGGAGGAGGAGGTGCTGTCGTCGGTGGTGTAGCCGCCCCGCTCCTTGTCGGCCCGGCTGGAGAGGGGGCGGAAGCCCATGCCGATCTGCCGCAGCTGCTCGTCGATCTGCAGCCGCTCCAGCCGCAGCTGCTCCACCTCCTGGGGAATGGGAAGAACGGCGCGGGGTGAGACGGGGAACCCAGTAACTTCGCGCCCAGGCAAGGGGAACCAATTAATGACTGCACCTGTACAGGGCTGGCAGGGGGAACCAATTAGTGACTGCATTGCAAGGGGGGACCAATTAGCAGGGACACCCATGCTGTCTTGGGGCAGGGAACCAATTAATGACTGCACCTGTACAGGGCTGGCAGGGGGAACCAATTAGTGACTGCATTGCAAGGGGGGACCAATTAGCAAGGACACCCATGCTGTCTTGGGGCAGGGAACCAATTAATGGCTGCACCCAGCAGGGGGAACCAATTAGTGACTGCACCCCAGAGCAGGGATACTAATTAGCAGTTGTTGGGGGGATGGAAGGAGGGAGGTCAAAAGTGCAGCCTCAGAACAGGAAGGGGAAACAAAAGCAAATTGCGCACACGCAGCCGGGGGTGGGGGGAGGACCAATAAGCAAATGCACCCGCCTGTGCGGGAAACCAGGAAAGTACAGGAAACAGAGGAACCGATTAACGGTCACACCCACGAGACACCCACATCGACGCTGATTCTCAGGCGTGTGCCCCTCCCCTTTTGCTGTCGACGGCCCCCCAGCGTTCGCACGCCACCGCTGCGGAGCAAGCGAGCCGGTTCCAAGACTGTTCCGGCGGCTGCTGCAGGCCCGTTCTCGGCAGAGCCGGATTTACCTGGAGGTAAGCGAGGTGATATTCCAGGAGCGCCTGCGCGTTGCTGATGTTCTCCCGCGTGCCGACGAAGATGAACGGGACCATTCCCTAGGAGAGAGGAGATTCGGTCACGGCACGGCCGTCCCCCGTGTGCCCCCCAACCCACCAGCGGCCACCCCCACCCCGCCGGCAGCCACCTCCACCCCGATCCGCCCCCACTTACCTCCTCTCGGGGATTTTTCTTGTCATTGTCCCCTTCCACCCGCACCCGCACCACTCCCGACTTGTCCACGATCT